TTGAGATATCAAAAAAGTACTCCAGAGTGTTGTTCAGCATGGGGGTGAGTAGAAAATGAAGGCTAATCATGTTTTGGGTGTACTATTCCTTTAATAAAAATGGGGTTGTAAAAGTTAAGATTTCTTAACATACTTTTTTCCACCATGGAATAACAATATTTGAAATAAAGTTTGGATAATTAAATGCAACATGTTTCTGTTTATCTTAGTACAAAAAAAAAAGAAGAAAAAAGACTTTTTCACAGCCCAAATGATCATAACGGATCCCGAACGTTACAGTAACTGATCAAGCAAAGCCCATCTTTGAAAGGTTTTGTCCTGTCCAATAGAAAGTCTAATAAACCATGTGAGCTCATGTGATGCAAAAAAATAAATAAAAACCCACACAGCCTGTAGCAGGAGACAGATTAGACCAAATACCTCCATCTAGCAAGGTCATTGCTTCCCCTGATCCTTAAAATAGCACATAGAAAACCTCCACTTAGTTCCTCATAAATCAAACTCTCCCACAACAACATCAACTCCATTCTTTTATATATATTTTTTTTAGTTAAAGCCTTTTCTGGTTTATAGAAAACATCCTAAATATCAAAGCCTGTCCTTTAATGTCGGCCATGACTCCCACTGTTGTGTAAAACAATACTGGAGCCTAAAAGGCATTTAAAAGCAACAAATTGATCAGAAGTCAAAACCGTTGAGTCTCAGCCACCCAACACCCCCTCCATCTGTCGCTGCCACAGCTGCCACAACCTGCGCTGAAAGCAGAAACACATTTCCAGGCCTCTCTGATGGATAAATCATTAAGTGACCGAGGGCAGTGGTTACTGTTGGAAAGGAGCTTTAAAAAAAGGGGATTTAAAGATGGAGAAGGATGAGTGAGAAAGAAAGGAAAGCAGGGAAAGACAGGAGGATAATTGGGGAGAGGAGGGGGCGGGGAGGAAGCTGTGGAGGTTTCATTGTGCCCAGTGGATGAATGGTGGGATTCAGAGGGTGGTGGGAGGTGGCCAAACACAATAGTGAAAGTAAAGGCTGTGTTTCCAGTCTTCCCTCGGCCAACGATCCTTTTTCTCCTTCTTCTCTGTTGCCTGAGAGACGCGGATCATGGTGTTAGCTCAGGGTTTAAACCCTTTCTGGCCCCGGCTGCAGGATACAAACACTGAGCAGAAAAATCTCTCATTTCAGTTAGTAACTAATCCAAAATGTACTACAGTAACAATAGTTTGAAGTAGTTTGAGTTTATAAATAGTCCTGCTTTGGAGAGCATGCCTCCACCGCTCTAGGCGCCCCTCCACCTGCTTCTCACAGTCAGGGTATTCCAGGGGGATTGCTGCCTTTAACCTGTCTATCAGCGCTGATAGAGGCTCAGAGCTGCTCCCTGATGTAATCTCATCCCCTTATTGAACCCATTTGTCCGTCCTGCAGCAGCACACCTCGCTGTCATCTCTCTGTCATGTTCTACCATCACAAACTTCTCCGTCACAGCTGGATGTTTGTCCTTTAAGTCACACCTTGACAATTTAGACCAGCGTATGCCTGACTTCCTAGCAGACATGATGCTGATGCTGCCACTGCAAACCTTTCTTTTTCTTTTATTTATTTATTTTTATTTTTTTTTGAGGTGGGCAGTAAACAGCAGCTAGGTTAATAAATCAAAGACATGTGGCTTTTGCATCATTTCCTCAGCATTAATCTGTCCTGCGTTATGCAGAAGTTAGGCTCTCATTGGACAGAAGTTCTGGACTCGTTATGAATCCTCTATGTTTACGCCCAGAATTTAAAAAATACATAGAAAGTTCAGCGTATGCCAGCGTTTTAGGAGATTCTGGAACGTCCGGCATACGCTGGAGAAATCAGCAAGGTGTGACAGGGCCTCGACATTTTTGATACACTTCATGCCCAGCAGTACTTCAGGCTGTAGAAACTGCAGTAACCCGTTTTGAAAGGCATCTAATTAAATGAATAACGGACTAATGAGGAACCTCGCTGACCCCATGTTTGCTCCAGATGACGGCACATTCTGTTCGACTAACCCACTGAAGATATTTCCCACCTAATTTAATCTTTTATGAAATGTTAG